TTAAGGGGATGCTGGAGTGGTTTGATTTACCGACAGAGTCGGATACCGTTTTTGCGTTTGTAAATCTTATTATTTGCATTAATGTACAAACTAATACCAGACCCAAGTGTAGAATGCATAGTTGAACATTTTCATATAAAAAACATTGAGGTTTGAAGTGTAATTCGTATCGCATTATGTATTACAAATATTGCAATACATAATGCGATACGAATTAGACTTCAAACCTCAATGTTTTTTATACGAAAATGTTCTACTATGCATTCTACACTTGGGTCTGGTATTAGTTTGTACATAAATGCTACGAGTACATAATTATTTTGGTTTGTATCTATAATATGACATATTGAGGTTACGTTCCTTGAGGTAAGATTTACAAACCCCCAAAAACTGTATGCGACTCTGTCGGTAAATCAAACCACTCCAGCATCCCCTTAAGACTCTTAATCGATTCTTTTATCGCGAATCGCAGATCTGTTACAAGATGGCCATTACGATCGACCATCGGCAACTCTGATACGTCTGCAGACAAACTTGGACCATAACACGGAGCACTTGTACGACGAAATACCATTGCAGACCGCTCCATTGTCGAATCGCAAGGATCTGTGATGGAGAAACGATTCCACTTACTACATTCATAGTCCAGTCTATTGATATCTTTAGCAGTATAGTTTGGTAATGCGTCACCGCAAAGAGACCTTGAGGTGTTTTTAGGCGAAACGTGACCTGTCACACGGATAAAACGATCGGTGAAAAGTCGATCGCACGAGGCCGAAGAAAAATGCGCGAAAACTGGTTTCCGACCTTACGCAGAGTCGACGAATGCACAAGGCTGAACGTGACTGTAATTGAGTGGCACAGGCGGAGAAACAAGTCGTTCGAGTATCTGCCGTACTGTCAGTGACCGACAGTAGAATTTAATCAGCGGAGCGTGAAGCTCCTTCTGAATAAACTATTTCGTAGTTTCTGACGTCGAGCCGGGGGCGAATGCACCCGATCACGATATTGCGCGCGAATGCGCAATTAGATGGAAAATGCAGAATAATAGAGTCCCGTATGCTCTAACGAGCGGGTGAAAATATAGCGCACCGACTGTTATTATCCGAATGATATTAAACGTAGCCTGCGGGGGCGGAACTAGCTGTTTGCGAGTAAATAGATGCGAAAGTAAATTGCCCGGTGTGTAAATCTGGTAGTCTCTCGTTCAACGTTGACGTAATTCATCGTTTATTTATTTCAGTTAACGTTGCCAGAACGATTTTTTCCATATTTATTTATTATCGCGTCGCTAACAGGACGTCGACCGTAATATTGATAACGTTATTATAAATTCGTTAATAATCAGTCCCGTAGTAATCGCATCCTGCGAAGAAGCACTGTTTTCCTAGACATGAAAACATATCCTGCGATAATATACCGAGTTCCCGACAACATCAGCAATTATGTGTACATAAGCGATAATGTGACCGATGATACCAAATTCGTTATCGTGAGAGGAAGTACACTTAATGACTTTTACGCCTCGAAACTGAAACCGACGAATAAAAATTTAAGGTGAACGCAATACACGCGTTCTAAAAAAGTACAACCTAACGTTTGACATTTAAAAAAGTTTTAATGATTATCTAGTAGGAAAATCTTGAGGGTCGCCAGCAATAATTAACAACATCAAATTTAGTTGACTAATGATTCATGATTATCTGCAGTAAATTAAATTTTGGATAAATCGTGTAAGTATTGCGTTAGACTTTATTATTTACTATTTTCGTTATAGTGAGAGGAAGTAGTGGCTTTTGTGCCTCGAAACTGAGACCAACGAACGAAAATTTAAGGCAAGAGCAACACACGCGTTCTAAAAAAAATATAACTTAGCGTTTGACATTTGTAAAAAAGTTTTAATGACTATCCGCAGTAAATGAAATTTTGAATAAATCGTGTAAGTATTGCGTTAGACTTTATTATTTACTATTTTCGTTATAGTGAGAGGAAGTAGTGGCTTTTGTGCCTCGAAACTGAGACCAACGAACGAAAATTTAAGACAAGAGCAACACACGCATTCTAAAAAAAATATAACTTAGCGTTTGACATTTGTAAAAAAGTTTTAATGACTATCCGCAGTAAATTAAATTTTGAATAAATCGTGTAAGTATTGCGTTAGACTTTATTATTTACTATTTTATCATTACTTTGTAAGAAGTTACATTAATATAACTTGATATGCAGCGATATTTTTATATACTAGGAGAATCATCGAGAGGGATAATAAACTATGTCATTATCTTCGGTACTTCCCTCCGGTGTTTTCCATGGGAGAGGAGAAAAACTTTCCGTTTCTATGTCACGCGATAATTTGATGTATCTCTTCGTTTTGCACTGACTTTTTTTATTTCGCACACTCGTTTCAAGGAAATGTTATTTGCAGTCAGCATTAGCTTATCGTAATTAAATAAACAAATACCGTACACTTATCGCATTTAACATATTCTTGCGTACCCGCCTTTATCATTTCTGATTCGCCCATGTATCCATTCCCGAACGATATCAGTCGGATTACGTAAACAATGTCGAGTGCGTGAAGCAAGAATTATGATAAACTGCGCACACAAAAGGCATACAAATTGTGTATATAGTTTAATGCAATACTTGCAATCAAAACAACATTATTCTATCGTTATTGAAACATTGAAAAAGCATTCTTTTCTCAATTAAAACATTAAATCCGTGATGAAGTTAATAACCTTTTTTTTCAGATAACCTCGTTCAGATATTTTGTATTTAACAAGTGAATAAGTACATACATGTCTTAATTAATGGCTTTTATGCATATTGTTTCCTTTTCTCTTATATCCTACATTTTATATCATTTTTAATGTGCCCGATTGCAACGTGTAATTAAAAGAGATTTTCACTTGTCTACTTTCACTTAAAATCCGAAAAAAAGTCTGGTAAAGGATTGCAAGTTTTTACGATTTACGTCATACGACGAGACTTTTTTATAATATAGCTAAGCTGAAATTTAATTGTGATACGTTATCTTGTCCGTTCGCTTTTGTGCACACGCGATCAATAATTTATTCACCCGAGTAAAGCTGTGCCTAATGAGTCAATTATGGCCCAGTTAATAGCGATGACCTAATCAATAATTAGATAAGAGTAAAAGTGTGGAAGAAACGGGCACACGAACGCTCTGGCCCCATTTGGTCTCTCTGACATATCGATACGCATAACCGATAACGGTTTCCGTGAACGGGAGTGTTGCGTAGTTTAATGACAAGTTTAATGAGAAGATGAAAGCAGCTGACCCTTGCGACATCCTTATCACGGTGATGCCCACACTCTGACCGAAAATAAGCGTCCAGTAGTAAATTCGCGATCGTTCATGCAACATGCAGAGATTGCCGATTTGTCTCATTGTTTTTACGTGCCTCGGTGTTGGCACCTGGGCAACTGACGGTGTAAAAGGTGGACAACGGCCGCGTTACCCCAACGGGAATTATCACGGCACCAACTCCTCGCAAAATGGCCTTTGCTACAAAAGGGTGCCGTAAGTAATCGGGTTTTCCTTGCGAACGCCGTAATGCTGGCAACGAGACTCAACATAATTTTTTGCCTGCGCATTTTTCCTCACGTTTAATTTCCATTTGGACGAACCGACGTGAAAACAACGACTAATGTTATCGCCTTTTAGATACAGCCACGTTTTATCTTCAAACTCCAGCGGGTCACCTTACAATACCATTCCCCAACCGCCCGGAGGTCACTATCCTGTAAGTAAAGGTCTCCCCGAGTCGAAGATAGCTCGCGAGAAGATTAATTCTTGACAAATATAAATCTTAGGAGATATCACTTTCAGGACGATATGCTTTCGTGCATTAATTAGGAGTGAAAAAAAAAGTCCAGTGTGAAGCACTTAAGTAATTTCAACGGCGATTCCGTTGTAATATAAGGTAAATTTTGTTCAGCAAAACGACGGTTGGATCACCATATTAGACTGTTGCGACGGCTACAAGCGCAACGTGACGAGCAGCCTGTGCGAGCCGCAATGCGAACGCGGCTGCTTCGGCGGCCGCTGCACGGGCCCGAATGTCTGCAGCTGCCCTCCGGGATGGCGTCCCGAGGACGGCGTTTGCATGCCCGTCTGCATGCACCGGTGCCAGGAGAACGCCTATTGCTTCTCCCCCGAGGTGTGCATGTGCAAGTTGGGCTACGACGAGCTCGACGGCCTGTGCAGGCCGATTTGCCCCGACGGATGCAGTCACGGCGAGTGCGTGGCGCCGCGCGTCTGCAGCTGCAGGCCAGGATACGTACTGAATGAACGCAAGGAGTGCGTGGCCGCGTGCGAGGGCGGCTGCACGCACGGTGTGTGCAGCGGGCCGGGAGTGTGCACCTGCGGCAACGGGTAATTAACGACTGTCCTCCCACTTTCGAGTCCTCCCCCGGTCTCCGCCGACTGCGCAATGTCTCTCGCATCAGAGCGACATTCCGCGCGATAATTAAATCCTCATCCACTCGCGTACTACGTGCGTAACCTGTTCCTGCGAAGCGGATTACCTACGATATGAATAATTGATAAATCAATGTTGGACTCGTCAAAAATGGTGTTACACGCTGAAGGCGGGTTATAGGCCGCGCGTGTAACTTGTGCTTTCGTACAGGCATATAAAGCAGCCGTTTTGTAACTTTCATGCGGCCATCTGCGTAGATAATATTTATTGCCGCTTGAGGTGCAGTCACGCGTCATAAGCATAATACATTTGCAAGCAATATACTAGAACGAGTGCCAGGTTGATCGTACGTATAGGACGTTTCACTGACGCTGTTACTGAATGACGGGTTCTTTAACAAGTCCGGAATTGTAATTCTAAATTGCCGATAAATTTCTACGAATCCGTTCTTCCTTGCTTCGCTCCTAAATAATAACAAATGCAAAATATACCAATTACAGCGCAATCATTGTTTTACAGATACATCAACCCTCCCGGCGACCGCGAGTCCTGCGTTCCCCATTGTCCGGCAGGTTGCGACGGTGAATGTATAGCGCCGAACGTTTGCGGCTGCAGGGTCGGCTTCACGCGCAATCGTACCGGCACTTGCGTGCCGGATTGCCCGGGTGGTTGCGACGGAGGCGAGTGCGTAGCGCCCGGCGTTTGCAGCTGCAGACCCGGATACGCGCGGGACCGTTACAGCGGCAGATGCATCCCGTCTACCGGTTCATCGCAGTGCGGATACGGATACATCGTCGATCCCGACACCGGTAGATGCATCCCCGCGCCGACAGTACAGCCCGTCGGCGATTGCAGACACAACTGCGGTCCGCACGGCAGATGCGTCAGCTACAATCGGTGCGCCTGCGAACCGGGATTCGTCGTTGACCCCGACACCGGTAGATGCATCGCCAGCGCGACATCCACGATCAACTCGACCCTCTCGCAATGCAGATACGGCTGCGGGCCGAACGGCCGATGCGTCGGCCTGAACGTCTGTGTATGCGAACCGGGATTCCGCAGCGATCCCGATACCGGAAGGTGCATTCGGCACGACGTGGGCGGCACGGGCGAGGAGATGTGCCTGCATCCGTGCCTGAACGGCCGGTGCACCGGGCTAGATGAGTGCACCTGCAACCACGGATACACGCACGACGTCCGCGACGTCACGCGTTCCAGATGCGTGCCAATGTGCGCGGGTGGGTGTCCGAACGGCGTGTGCACCGCGCCCAACTTTTGCATATGCAATCCCGGATATCGGAAGGAACCCGGTGTCAAGACCGGCCGGCAGAGATGCGTGCCGCAGGAATGAATGAGTTGACGACGCGCGAAACATATTGTCAGATATTAGTTTGATGAAGCTAACAATTTCAGGCATTATGACCAACTGAACTTGTACCATCGACATCAACTGATAACATAAATTATAAACAATGATTTTTTATGTGTCTCTTATTTCACGCGATATCAATCTGTAATGATACATGACGACTTTAACAAACACGCAAAGCATTGGCGCGAAGATAAAATATCATCGCGCGCTTAAAAGTTTTGAAGCTAATAGCTGTTTTGCTAACTAACCCTACACTATTCTTGAGTAGCATTCTAGACTGATCGACAGATATAATTTTCTCAGAGCGAAGAAAGTATTAAATATGTAAAACTCCGATGGCAAACGAATACGTTAATTATATAGTAAATCATAAGGTTGATTATAAAGGCGAGCATAAAAATAAAAGCGTTCTATAAATCTGAATCTTGTAGAAAGATATGTAAAAATGACATTAAAATAACTTCAAACGCAATCGCGTGCAGCTTATTTTACACACCAACTGATGTTGTTGCATTGTAAATGGGTCAATGAGGACTGCATCCTTGGCCCAGTACGTCAACTTAACGTAAGTTTCGCTCAAGAAAACGCACGTTCCGTTTATGCACTGTTAAACATGCGGAATCGATTCGTTTACGCCATAAAACAATTATGCGGTTTCTCTCCAGAGCTCGACGCAATGCACATTTCTTAAAAACGATTGAATATTCCGGAGTACTCAAGCTACATGAATATTTCGTAACACTTATTGTTAGTGTTATGTGTGTACAACTGATTTAATAAATCTTCACTATTTCTACAATGAGATGCGAGGTACTTTGTACCTAGAATGATTCACAACGTATGAACTGATAACTGTATGCTACGCCGGTTATATTGCGATAATGTAAGCGTTATTTCGTGGAATATAGCAAATCTTACCTAACGATTTTACCACAAGTTCCAATAGAAAATTCCAATAAAGGGAACTCGAGAATTTTAGTTGATCTGTCAACTTTAATTAATCCGGCTTGTACTCTCTAGAAGTCTATCAGTGGATTATCACTGAAAACAGTGAATAGTCACTGGTTAACAGTTACAAATATATCACTGCGATTTCCCGATTTTCACGACAAAAATAAATATAATGTACGGAAATTTCACAATCTGTTGTATAATCTGGCATCAATCGACCTGATAATTGATAACGTAGTTTTTTTACTCAGAATTTTCGCCGATTTATTTGAAATGTATATTTCGCTTTTTCTCTATAGAACCTTTTTGCACGCACAGGTGAACAAACGATAACGATGCGTTGTAAAAGTTTTCAGTAATAATTTACATGAAGTAGAATTATTGAAATTGAAGAAACTCATTTTGCTGATTAGCAGAAATTTTACACGGATTTAACTGTAGCTGACAACAGCCTAACATCCTGCCTGATTCTGATAGCATACTCGTATATTATTGCAGCAAAGAGGAAGAGAGGCTCAGTATACTCTACGCACTATATGTATTATAACTGTCCTCGCGCTGATCACTTGTCCTCGTTAGTGGGGTGTCTCAAAATATATGTTTAAATGTACTTGACAATTATGAAATTTCCGTACATTATATTTATTTTTGTCGTTCTACAAAACGCATTAATTAAAGTTGACGGATTATCTCCGAGTAAAGCTGTGGATTGGATAATCCTGAAGGATGGAGATTGTACTAAGATCGTTAGGTAAGATTTGCTATATTCTACGAAATAACGCTTATCAAGACTATTGCAATATAATCGGCGTAGCATACAAGAGAGCTACTATTGTTAAAATCATGCGCAGTTTTCTAGCGTCGTATGAACAACCATACTTGGAAACATATAAGGAAACAGTATGGGGTATTTTCTATAAGACCCGCACCCGATGGAATTATAAGATTCAGGTGAGTTTTTAAGCATGTAATTTCTATTCCAAGTGATATTTGCAATAATATAATAGAGTCGAAACTTAAAATCTGTTTAATAATAGGTGCATTTGACGCACATAATGACATTTTGTTTCAATCGGAAAATAAAATAATTACTCCGCAATATAGAAATATTAAGACCCGATTTTTTTAGCCAAACGATTAGAAAAAAAGAGGACAAATACAATTTTAGAAATGTAAAAATAACATTGGTTGTAGTTGATAACATTTATAACGATATTTATCTTTACTAAAGTTTACAACTGATCTCGAAATGTATAATATTAACATTTTTACACTTTGATTAAGTTTAAGAAGAAATTATTGTATTTTTCACCAGGTATCGCTCTGCTTATCGAATCGCCTATTATCGAACATCTTGTGATTATATTATTCGCTATAGATAGAATTTTTATCGTTTAGCAACCTACGCACTTTCACGCTAAGGCGCGAAACCTTGTTTCCGTTTTCAGTATCGCGTTTCAACGCGCCAAGAGCACGAATGTTGCGCCGGATACGCGAAGATACGTAGGCCATTCGTATCAAAGGCGATGATCTCAGTGTGTGAACCGATTTGTCGACCTGATTGCGGAAATGGTACATGCGTAAAACCGAACGTATGCAACTGCAATAACGGATACCGTTCAGAGACAGCTCTAGGCACTAACGTCGGCTGTGCACCTGTGTGTACTCACGCCTGTGTACACGGCAAATGCGTCGCACCCGAAATTTGCAAATGCGATTTTGGATACAAACTGAGCGACAACAGTTACATCTGCGAACCTGTCTGCAGTGAGCCGTGCGGTACAGGATCATTTTGCTATAAACCCTACCAGTGTCTCTGCCTGAAGGGATACAAAATGATAAATAGTGATTCTAAATTATCTAACGTAGGTAAACAATATAAGCGCTTCGTTCAATTCATTTGTTCAATTTAAATTTTACTTAGTTAATACAATGTCGATGTGAAAATGTCAAAGTTGAAAAATTACAATAAAGCTAAGACTCCATAGATGCGATGAGGTGCGGCAACGCGAGTCGACCAATTAGAAGCTTGCCGCAAGCTTCCTGCGTTGCAATTGAAATCTTTCGATTCGTTGCCGCACGCGTTGTCGCAGTTCAACGCGTTTGTGGGGTTTTAGCTTAAGTGATTACAAGCGTGAAGTTGTGCAATTAAAAATCAGTTAATTAAAAAGATGTTGACAAAGATAAGACAATGTAGAAAAGAAGAGCGTATACGTTAATAATAAAGGTGTACATTTCCGTGTGTTTAGATGTGCCAACCTATTTGCGAGAGAGAATGTGTTCACGGTAAGTGCACAGCCCCCGAAACCTGCACTTGCAATCACGGTTACGAGCCTGATCCTTTTGACATATTCGCCTGCAAGCCCACGTGCGAGCCCGGTTGTCTCTACGGCAAGTGCACTGCGCCCAATGTGTGCACCTGCAACGAGGGCTACTCGTTAAAAACCCCGAACGTTTGCGCACCAATCTGCAGCGAAGCTTGCGTCATGGGCACTTGCGTGGCTCCCGAAAGCTGCAGCTGCTTACCGGGCTACGGGCTGCTCGAGAACTCAAAGTACATCTGCGAACCGGTCTGCGAGAAGGCTTGCGTCAATGGGCGATGCACCACGCCTGGCGAATGCACATGCGAGAAAGGCTACCTATCCAGTGGCGACGAAACAGAGAAGCACATTTGTAAGCCTCACTGCGAAATTTCTTGCCAACCGTTCGGCAAGTGCACTGCCCCAAATGTCTGCACCTGCATTGAGGGATACCGCCTGGTTGAGAAGCCGCGTGCCAAAAAGAAAGTTAGTTATATCCAAACAAGATTAAATGCTCCCGGCGCGGTCCGGAACGTAAAGTGCAGTTTGCGATTTACAATTACGATTTGTCGTATGAGAAACTTGTTATTTATTTTAGTTTAAATGTCCAGGCTAAGTCCATACTTAATCCATTAACTAAAACTGCTATTTCTGTCGTTTCAAGAGGCACCGTAAGCTAATTGCTTATTACACGAAACATATTGGTTTGCAGATTTCGTCAATCTTTAACGATTATTCGGTTTGCGAGCCGGTCTGTCATTTAGAGTGCATCAACGGATTTTGTAGTGCGCCGAACACGTGCAGCTGCAATATCGGCTATCTTCCGTCGGGCAAGAATTCTACCGCCGTATGGTGCACACCCACCTGTAGGCAGAAATGCGTCAACGGTTTCTGCAGCGCACCTGACACTTGCACGTGCAACGCGGACTATCGTCCTTCCAATTCTACAAACGTATGCAAGCCCTTCTGCGCGACCGATTGCATCAATGGACATTGCACCGCGCCAAACGAATGCACCTGCAACCCCGGTTACCGACCTACCGAAGGTAATCGTACGAGCCTCTGCGAGCCCGTTTGCGATCCGAGCTGCGAGAACGGTATCTGCGTGAAGCCCGACGTGTGCAGCTGCAACCCGGGCTATTTATCGACGAATCCTAAAGGAGAACTCGCGAAGGTGAACACGTGCGATCCTATCTGTCACCCAGCTTGCGGGACAAACGGTATCTGCAAGGCGCCCGATCTTTGCGTCTGCAAGGACGGTTATCGCATGGTTTATTACGACGCGGGAAACATCCCGTTCGAGTGCACACCGATCTGCCGCGTCGAATGCGGCAACGGCACATGCGCGGCGCCGGATCACTGCGTGTGTTTCGACGGTTATCGAAACGCGAAAACCGGCAGATGCGAGCCCGTCTGCGGGTCCTGCGGCAACGGCACGTGCGTCGCGCCCGAGGTCTGCGAATGCGACGACGGGTTCGGCCCCGCGAATCTCGAATTTGGAACACAGGAATCTCGAAACTCGATTATTCCGGAGAATAGTACGGGAAACGGGAGCAGATGCGTGCCGCATTGCGAGAATTGCGACAACGGCGAGTGCGAGGCACCAGGTGAGTGCCGATGTCATGCCGGTTTCGTCGAGATCGTAGGCACCTGCGTGCACGCGTGCCAAGGTGGTTGCGGTACTCACGGCGAGTGCATCGAGGAACGTAAGGCTTGCGAGTGTAATTACGGATGGGCCGGATTACACTGCGATCGGCCAACATTGTGCGTTCTGATATTGAACGACGAAGGAAATCGTACCGAGCAGTAAGTATACGTAAAGTGCCTTATAAAATTTACACTTCCTTCACCAAGTGAAAAAAAATTATAGTGAACAATTGTAAAAATAGCGACGACGTATTTAAGCATTATATCACGTAACAAAACGATTTAAGCAGTGAGTTTTATTGACCGTGTCTGGCAATTAAAATTCTTATTGCGAAAAATATTACCCCAGCCAGGATTCGAACCTGGGACCTCCCTCAATCCGTGACGGGCTGGCTAAGACGCCCGTCGTTCGAATCCTGGCTGGGGTAATATTTTTCGCAATAAGAATTTTAATTGCCAGACACGGTCAATAAAACTCACTGATGTTATTAATTTATTAATTACTTCTGGCGACTTTAAGAATATTCTTACTAAAACGATTTAATTTAATACCTCACTAACAAACAAATGAATAAGAAAATGAGCATCAATAGAACAAGTTTATATTATCAGGACTTTAATATTTTATAGTTATGTCTAAAACAAATCCATTACAAATTGTCAGTAATTGATGATCTTTTGCAGATTAACAGTTGTTAAAGAATTGAATGCTACGATCAAACATATACTCATAAATAACCCAGTATGTTCCCAGTGTATTGGTAAAGTAAATAATGAAACTTTGTGCTTTAATATGTTGATCAATGGCACGAAGGACGAGACGCAAGTTGGTTGCTTAATGAATGAAGGTTTGTTATACGTAGATTTACTTGTCTAAATTGATATATGTATGTATTAAATCCCAGGTGAGATTAGAGCAAATTTATTTATTACATTTGTATATCTTAAAAAGTTAGTAAATGTTTCAGGTATTAAAAGTGTTTTTTATTATGTAATAATATCAATGTGTCAAAAAATAAAAATTTTATACTTTCTTCCTTCTTAAATTTTTTCAGATACCGATTTGATATAAACTCGCAATAAGGTTAAATATCAAATATTTGTTTTTATGAGACATACAAATGTTTTCTAGATTGCTCTAACCCAAATTTTTTTATAAAAAGTACTTGCAAAGTGCAATAATTTAAAAATATTCTACAGAATATTTAGGAGTATTTTAAATGTTTACTATTATAGTAATTATGTATTGTTTTTATAACTAGCCATCATACAAAAATTTTGAAGTCCTTGGTTTTCTTTTTAATATTTCGTAATAAATTAATAAAAACTTGTGTTATCACTTTTTTATGGTAGAATGTCTTGCATCGAGCAGTCAATACAAAGGTCAAGAGAAAATAATTCAACTATCAAGTGGAATCGCATGTGGAATATTATTTCTAACAGCAATAACGATATATCTGATTGTACGAAAACGCCGAAACAGACAGACAGACCTAGGTATTTAGACTCGTTGAGTTTTATTACGCACATTATTTAAAATAGCAATGTATAATAAAAACTTTTTGCAATTATACATATTCGTCTAAAATGGTCTAGAAAGATAAAATTTATGGATGTAAATTTATTAAAGAAGGAATCTTTAAGAAGCACTTAAAAAATTATCCAAAAATAAAGTTTGATTTATTCAAACTATTATATAAAAAATTTATACTTGTAAATTTCTTAAACTACTTTTTATTATTTAATTTATAGCCTAAATTCTTTTCCTCTAATTTGTTTAGTCTTATATAATATTGTTAATAAATGATTCTAATTAACAGGCAGTGTTGAGACAATTTACAGGCACAGTACATCGATGCAAGGTCTAATTCAATCGAGTGCCAATAATTCTTAATACGAGAAATGCTTAAGATATAAAATCTTAATATAGAATCTTCGAGCTTTTCTTGGAGTAATAATAATGATAAGGGAACAATTACATTTTGTTAACTTAATTAATCCATTCAAGTAAGTAAAGTAATGTTAGTAAGTAAAGTAAGTAAATTAATGTTAAATGAAATTATCAAATATATGTATCCCTTGTGAAATCTTCAATAAACTACTATTAAAGTTTTAAATTTCTATTCATTTTTACTTTAGCAATTTGTTTAATTGTAAGATTGTTCTATATATTCCCCGTCCTACAGTGAAATAGAAAAAAATATATACATATACTATATCTTCGTTACTTAATCGAAAGATATAATGTACTCAACAATTATCGTAAAAAAGAAATAAAAATAACTTTTATTCGAATCAACATGCAATACATGCAATACATGTATAAAAATTAATATTAACCCTAGACTACAAAACTGGGGTCCTTTGCGACCCCAAACGAAATTCAAAGTACGCTGCTGAAGTAGCCAAAAAGCACTTGCTTTTTCGGGTTCGGAACCATACCATAATTTACAATTAGTTCAACTCTTCGGCAGTTGGCCTGCGTCAGCCAGAACGTGAAGTGTCCCATAGGCAAGAAGCAGTAGAAGAGAGAAGTTGGTGTGGGGTCCTAAAAGACCCCAGTTTTGTAGTTTAGGTTGGAAATTGTATAAGTAAATTTTGGAAACAACAAGTGCAACAGTTTCTTTCACTCAGAAGGAACGAAAACGTTGCTGTTTCTGTCCCAGGGTCTTCGATAAAAAGATACAGATTTTATGCGTAAGGTGTAATCGCCCTGTTTACGAAAAACACAGAGTTACCTTATGTTGTACGTGCTCTGAAACAGACTAAGTTCTGTTTTTTTTCATAAATTGAATATTTTTTATCGTTTATTATTCATTTGTGAGCATAAAAAGTTCAATAAGTTACGATAGTAATGTGAATTTAACCACTCTTTTATTGATTTTTCCAATTTATCACTTTTTGAAAATTTGTAACCTTCATTTGTTCAAATAATTATACTTTTTCAACAGAACGTTAAAATACCATACATGGTCTTAAAGTGTATTCATTCCCCTTTAAAATAGCGTTTAAAATTTTAAAATTGCTTTATTTGTTAAGAAATTAGAGTCATTTTTGTAAAAAATGCCATTTTTGCACTTTTTTCGTGTCTTTTTTGCTTTAAGTAGATTTTTTAAATATTTCTCTGACAATAAACAACATATTATATACATCATCGTTTTCCTCATTAAAAAACGAAGACAATGCACTATTTAACTTTTAATTTACTGCTGATAGAAAGGATTGAGACACCTCGAGAAGTTGGGGTCCTAGAGGACCCCAGTTTTGTAGTTGAAGCTGAGTAAAATATGTTTTGTAGTCTAGGGTTAAAAAATTATTTATTATAAAAATGTTTTAATTAAGAACGTCTATACGCAATTATGTATTGCCAAATTCGCAATTCTCAGTTTTACAAAAACATGATTCTACGAGACATACAAATAAATAAATATTGCAAGGAATATAATTGAGATGAATGTGTTGTAGAGAATCTCTTTTGGAAAATAAAATTTTTAGTTTTTCTATTGTAATCTAAATATAATAATTGATACTCGGTCAAATAATTTGCAAAACGTTTTTTTTCTGATATCTTGAGTAAAATATTATTCATCCAAACACCTCTATTAAATGCTTCGGGTGCCTCAACACGAGTGGTTAATATTTTAAACTGAACTTTACGCTACACACACGTATGCAGGCTTTGAGTAACCCTCTGATAGTGCAGTATATCCTGCCTTAAAAGAGTAAAATAATGTGCATTGGTGCATTGCTCCCACGCAGAACAAGAGATAACCGGATAATGGGAAGGAAGTACCATAACAGTCAGTCTAAACAAGGCGGAGCGAGCATTAACTTCATAATAAAGGCAACGAATCATGGGATTACTTAACAGTTTTATTGCTATTTTGGTTATCCAGATACTATTTTTAAAAGTGATGAACATATGGTGTGCGAGTGAAATTCCTTTTGAGGAATTAGAGGGTGGTGATTCTAAAGAGCATCTTAACAACATGTGCAATAAAGTAAACAGGTACTCATATTTATTATTATGCTCTCTCGGAAATTGTACTCTATTTATATATCACGTATCCATTTATAAAGTAAGTTGTTTCTCCGATATATCTTACAAATTACTCATTTACATATGTTATTATGTACCATAACATTAATTTTTGCTAATTTTACCGTATTAGCAGATTTGAGTACAAGTTCCCCCTAGTAAAACTGGTTCCTTATCTGGAAACATATAGACGATACAGACCACTATATGTGGGTGGAGATTCGGAAGAACAAAGTTCATGGTTCCCCATCGTGAGTCGAACGAATTACAGGAAAAAGGTAATCAATCTGATAAGTGACATACGTGATGATATTCGATGACAAAATGAAAGTGAAATAAGAGATAAAGAGAGAACATATTTCATATAAATTAATAATCTTTGAGTCTTCATTTGTATTTAATTTGCAAATGAATTCTAAATCTTTTCTCCTACAACTGTTCCCCGCTAATTTACTAATTATGTAATTACCATTTTCCATTACTACAAAGCGGATGTGCTGCGAAGGCTATGTTCTGTCCGGTGCATCGTGCGTACCACGTTGCCCGCAATCATGCGAGAAGGGCACGTGCAAGGAGCCGGATGTGTGCACCTGCAACGAAGGATACCACATGTCGAGTAACGGCACGTGTCTGCCCAAGTGTTCGAACGGCTGCGTCAACGGCACCTGCATCGAACCTGAGCTTTGCAGTTGCCACAATGGCTATTGGTTGGACTCAGACGGATTCACCTGCCTTTCCGTCTGCCAGCAACAATGCGGATATCACGAGTACTGCTCCGAGCCGAACGTATGCACGTGTCGTTCCGGTTACATGAGAACCGGCATCGACCCATATCCGTCTATGTGCAAGCCCATATGCGACGAACCGTGCGTTTTGGGCAAGTGCACGGCGCCGAATACATGCACCTGCGACGACGGCCATAGGGCGGTGAACGCGAGCGTCTGCGAACCGATCTTGCCGATTTGCGAACATGACTGCATAACGAGCGAATTCAACAGTCATTGCTTGCCGTACGTGCCGGAGAGATGCAGCTGCAGCATAGGTTTCGAACGCCGAAAGGTCGACTTCAAAGATATATGCAGACCGATATGCGGGCTAGGATTTGTTAATGATGAAACTACTCACATATGCAAGCCGCACTGCGAACCACGTTGCAGACCCACAACAGAATGTACGTCGCCCAATAAATGCACTTGCTCTAAAGGGTACCAACACGTACCTGACCGATTCGAAATTTATGGAGTGGGGAGGTATTTTAAACGGGCAAGTATATCTGTGCAATAAGACATAAACATTATTGTCAGTACTCTCGATAAAATATGTAAGATCCACTCACCACGTAAAAGGAAGATTTTTATCTTCGTAGAAGAGCAACTTTTCCTCAATAAAATAAGAATTCTTTATAAACTTTTTGTTGCTATTATCAGTAGAAAGGTACGTTAATCATGTTGTGATGAAGTATCTGTTTATCAAGTAATGATTGTTACCTAAATAATCCTTAAAAACAATACTCGACAGGATTAGGGTGGCTTTTAAAAATTCTAACTTTAAAATCACGCACGAAAAAGAAATTTGTCAACCTCATTTGAGACCTTGCGAAAGCCTGAAGACTCCTTTTTTAAGTACTCTTTTAGAAGTAGAGCTACAGTGAGAAAAATGCCTTGATTGCATCAACAAGATGTGCATGACAGAATGTATTTTGGTTAAACCATACAGAATTCTAGTTATCGCGCTAGGGCTCGATACTTCATAACCAGAAGTCTGATGGACTTCGCTACACATGTAGTAAATCCTAAAGCATTCGTTCAGTTTCTAACAGGCGACTGGTTGAACCTACCAGACTTCCAATTAATACAGCCAGATTTGTTTTTCAGTGTATGGTTTTAATTAATTATCGCGATTTGTAATGGCCAGTATATATTCCATGTTTTTCCCCCGCTGAATAAAGCTATCAGCATCAGTATTGTCTAAGTACACAATGGTACACTGAAAAAAATTTCTGGTTGAATATGGACGAATCAGATAATTCCTTTAGGATTTACCAGAATTCCTGTAATCCTACAGAAATTCTGGTAAATCCTAAAGGAATTCTGGTAAATCCTAAAGGAATTATCTGATTCGTCCATATTCAACCAGAAATTTTTTTCAGTGTAGGGTTGCAAATTAAAAATTATATCATATTTCATCATTTTAGTTATTTGCAAAAGTGTATTATTTTTAAACGATTTTTTAATCACAACTAATTTAAAAGTACTCACTCAATCTTCGATAAACAGCCTATCGATTGCGAACCGATTTGCGAGTTTGACTGCGTCAATGGTTGGTGCAGCGGCCCAAACGAATGCACCTGCGCTAGGGGTTACTATCCCTCGTGGCTCGAATTTCATCAACCCATAGACAACTCCACGACACACGTTTGTGAGCGATTCCGTAAACCTCGCTGCAACGCGCTCTCGTGCGGGAAGAATGGGACGTGCCACGCAATCGGCATTTGCGTTTGCAACGAAGGTTACGCGAGGGACACGGACGGCGATTGCGTACCCTTCTGCGTCCAAGAGTGCACCAACGGCACGTGCACGGCGCCGAATCGCTGCGCGTGCCACGACGGCTTTGCGTCGCTCAACGGCAGCTTCTGCGAGCCAGTTTGCGAAAGGGGCTGCCAGAACGGCGACTGCGTCGGCCCGAATCGTTGCGTTTGCCATGACAATTTCGTACCGAACGACGACCATCACTCGAGACCTGAATGCATCCCCGTGTGTACTCGCAACTGCAGCGGACACGGCGAATGTGTCACCGGCCGCAGCCCCGACGAGTACACGTGCGAGTGTCATTTCGGATGGACGGGAGGGGATTGCGTTAAACCGACCATGTGCGCCGTAACGGTGGCTTACGATCATGACAGTGCCAACAGGTGATTACTACTGATCCGTTCATTTCCCAGCTCGTAACGTTCCGGTAATGAGCGTCCACTATTCGATTGGCGAGATGAATTTTATCATTCACAAATATGATTGCAGAATCACGATTCGTAACGCTACAAACAGCACGATCGTGCGAGCCTACGAAAACGCACCTGATTGTTATCAATGCGACAATTCTTTTGACAATGAAACATTGTGCTACGTGATGCAATCTGACGAAGGCAATACAACTACCATCACCTGTTTGCTCAGTACAGGTATTTGCAATTTAGAAATCAATTACACCCCTTTCAGTAACGATACAACTATTTGTATAATTATGTGCGAAAATGTGTAACTAACGTTCTTTTAAACTCCGCGATTATTGTGTAATCATTTTCATTGGTGTTAAAGAATTTTTATACTTTAGGAAAGAACTTTTTCATCTCTCTCAGAATAGCTTTTATGCTCACAATCAGTTATGTTGTTTAATAATTTACTATCAATATATCGATAAAAGAGAGTGGAGATAGAGTTGTGTTATATAAACCTTTCTAATTATCTTTTCTTAAATATCTAAATGATTGTCGAAAAACTAGCAGACATTACAGATCCGTTTCTACAAATTGATTAAAAACAGTTCTAATATATTTTCTAAAATAACCAATTTTTAACCAGAGAATTAGCTGGAAAAAAGTTGCTTGCACAGAAAACTAAATACTGATAAAAATAGTACGAAATTAATATTGAGAAAATGTAATTTTTTAATATAATTCTACCTATCATAAAAAAGTTTTAATTCCTCTCAGTTTTATCTCTATTATCTTTTGTTTTACAGATTTGCCTTGTTACACGTCGCCTTCTTACACCGCCTCGATCAATGTTGCCAAAACAGTTTGGCCTTTCGTGATTCTCTCTATAATTATTAGTCTGACTGGTCTGACAGTGACAGCGTATTTAATACATCGCAAACGTCAAAAGAAGAAAATGGCTATGGGTACTTTTCTATCTGTGTTGACAACATAATCTGCAATAATTTCTCACCCTGACAAAAGTATAACTAAAAGATAATTGTGACATGGACATTTTCAACTGCATGTATAAAACACGATAACAAAAATCTGATAACATATTATTTTACGCAAATGATAAGACAAACGCTCGGTGCGGGCGCGATAAAAATCACTTTTAAGATGCTTAAACTAAAACGCTTGTATTTAATATTTTATTACTACACGACAACGAGATTATTATTTTGAATTATTTGTTCCAGCGAATATACCGCCGAACATTTTTGTGCGAGAATCTTTCGCTACGGAGCTTTTGTTGGCTGACATCTAACCTTAAAGGAGACATCGATATAAAAAGTTCCGAAAAGTGGACTGCAGTAATTACGATAATAATGATAAATAGCACAATTGTAACCGTAATTATAATTTAGAATGTTGTTGTGTCTTCACATATCTCGTAAAAATAAGTAATATTCATTCAGCCAATAATTGCTGTTAGTAACAATATTTTCACGTAAGTCCAATCGAGTTTATTATTATTATATTTTCTTGAGTATACAGGGCGTTATGTAATACCCGCATCAACGCTTATTGTGGGATAGAGTGGACTAGACTAAGTCGAAAAGTCCTGTACCACTTTGCAGGTTTTGCAATAGTTAACGAGTTATTAATTATTAAAAATCGCTGTCTTAGGCCGGCCCACTACCCAATTCAAACGTGCAGCGAGATCGATCGATCGTTACAACTCTCTGCGCGCCTAGTAACGATCGATCGATCTCGCTACACGTTTGAATTGGGCAGTGGGCCGGCTTAAGACAGCGATTTTTAATAATTAATAACTCGTTAACTATTGCAAAACCCGCAAAGTGGTACAGGACTTTTCGACTTAGTCTAGTCCACTCTATCCCACAA